GCTTTTTTCTTTTTTGCTTATGTGGTGCTGAGGAATCAAACCCAGGGCCTCAGGCATGCAAGGCAAGCGCTCTACCACTGAGCCACCTTCCCAGCCCCTATATAATATTTTTTAAGGAAGGAGAATACTGATTTTTGAATACAGATTCTGAGAAAGAAAAAATATGGAGTACTGGTCTCTAAAAGTTTTATAATCTATGTTCAAATGTAGCCTTTTGGCTGACACTACCTTTTGTTTCACGCAAACACAGAAACTAAAAGTCACAGTATGTTTCCATTGCTCTTTAGCTTTAACAAATTTCTGAAGGACAGCACATGATGCTTTCACTTAGTTTTCACTTAATTTTACATAATTTGAATTGGAAACAGCATTCAGTAAAATGCTTAGACTGCAATTATCTGGGAATCAAGATAAAGAAAAAAAAAAGCAGATGTTAGGAAAATGGCTTCCATAGAGTTGAGTAAAGGAAAAGGGAAATAGTAGGGTTAAATCTTAGTCTTCTCAAATAGGGTGAATCATTATAATAGATATTAATTCAATGTTAAGGCCAATATTTGCTGATAGACCTGAAGCTAATTTTTTCTCTATTTTGCTGTTTCCTTTACTGTAAGGAAATTGATCTAAAGGTACTTAAACACTAAAGACAATAAAGAACATACATAAACCAAATGAACATAAGATCATCTTATAGGACATATTTTTCTCTCATAGTTCTTGATCAATTTGAGCTACTTTAAAAATATTTTTTATCTGCTCAAAGTGTCAAAATATGTTCAAGAAAAAAAGTTAAAACAAAGCAGAGAAAATTGATTGTTATAACACCAGAGGGCGCTCTGGCACTATTGAGACACCACAGGACCCAAGATGGCGCTGAGCTACCAAAGGAAAACAGCAGAAGATAAAGGCCAGAGAAACGTCTTGCTCCCAAAAGGTTCTTCTGCTGCTTCATTTGTTGGGGTCTTGGGAAAGAGCTGTCCTGTTTTTGTACAGGTAGCTGGTTGCTGCTTGCCTAAGGCCCTGTTATAAGCTGAGACCCCCACAGAAAATACTTTTCATGCAGGCTTCTTTTCAGTTTCACTAAGATGCTTCTCTACTTACAAGTCCACTTGCTTCTGCTATAGTCTAAAATTACCAATGGCTCCTTTCTTGGCTTCCAAATTACTATATGTTTATATTGTGCCTGCTTCTTTGTGGGCTATTTCTAATATCTGTGTTAATTCTGTGGGATAAATATTTCACAGAAAAACAGGGCTTCTGGGAGATTGGGAAACACAGCTAGTACACAGCAGAGGACAAACTCTGAAATTCATCTTTTATCACTGTTCCTTATCTCGCTTCTTAGGACTAATACCTCAATGTCTTCCAAAGAAACAACTAGAGAATCTAAAAACAGGTAATGATCCAATACTGTCACATCAGATATAAAGTAGAAGTATAGAATCGGAGATATATTGGCTGCTTATTGTATAATCTGGACCCTGTGGTTCAATCTAGTATGATTGCTTGTTTAATAGGAATAATGACACTAACTTCCTGGAGTCATGCATATACAAATGTATACACTCTACAAATAGAAATGTACACAATCTACAAATAGAAATTCTTAATTATCTCTGCTTCTGGGGGTGGGGAGAAAGGAGTACCAATTCATCAAAAATATAAGAAGAAACCGTGAAGATAGGAGAGACTTTTGAAAGGTCATGTTCAAATCCCACGAGGTAGGCCTGATCCTCACAGTCAGACAGATGTCTAGGTTCTCTGCCTAAGCCAGACAAAGTAAGGCTGAATAAACATTGAGCCAGAGCACAAGCCCCTTGATCTCCTAGTGGAAATAAAAAGGATGGAGGTTCCAACCAGTTTGGGCAATACAACTATACAAGGCCACCATCTCAACCGAAAAGCCTCAGCTATAGCAAGAAGTGTACAGCAGGTCAGGTCAGGCAAAAAGTAAGACTCAACAATAACCAGAGGTTGCCGGGCGCCGGTGGCTCACGCCTGTAATCCTAGCTACTCAGGAGACTGAGATCTGAGGATTGTCGTTCAAAGCCAGCCGAGGCAAGAAAGTCTGTGAAACTCTTATCTCCAATAAACCACCAAAAAACCAGAAGTGGTGCTGTAGCACAAGTGGTAGAGTGCTAGCCTTGAGCTGAAGAGCTGAGGGACAGCGCCCAGGCCCAGAGTTCAAGCCCCATGACCGACAAAAATAAAAAATAAATAAACAGAGCTTAAAAAGGTTGGAGGCATGAATCAAATAGCACAGCACCTGCCTAGCAAGCAGATAGCCCTGAGTTCAAACACCCATACTGGCAAAGAAACAAAAGCAAACAGAAACATTATGTCAGAATTCTACTAACTGTTCAAGAGGATAACCTAGAGGAAAAACTCCTTCCCTTCATTAGGTAAAATTGTCTGGTAGTATGTCATTTCTCTTACATCCAGAAGGAATGTTAATATGTAGTGAAAACCAGCATTCAAGTAAAATTAGATAGAATGAACATAAGCTTTTCATGAAGATGCTAGCATTTCAAACCTCTGATCCCCAGGCTCTGAAAGCTTTCTCTAGTCTTAAGACATTCAAGGCGTATGTTCCAAAATTGTCGATTCCTTCTTCTTGGCCAGCATTCATGATAACATCGTAAAGTGCCTCGGAATCTTCTCGCCTGTGGTACAGCTCCCAACCCAGCTCACCTGAAATAAACCCACAGGATCACACCAGAGTAAGAACAGTTTTCATTAGGTCTAATGTGCATGAACCAAATCATATAGAGCCAGGAGAAAGTCCGTTCATGAACTATAGACATGGTTGGTTTTTTAAAAGAACACCTTATCAGAAAAGTTGCTGTAAGGTGGCACTACAAAGGAGCTGGCAGCATCACATTCTATTGTCATGCAATCCTGACTCCCACACAGAGGGTGGGAAATACAACACCTCTTCTTACCACAGAAAAAAGACCATAGTGCAGGATTTACCCTCCATTCTTGGCTCCAGCTTCAACATGACACTTGACAACTTTAGGACATTGATACTAGGTGAATCATTACCACGGCATATTTTATCAGGATAGGAGGTTCCAGGCTTAGACACCTAACCCAAGAATCATAGTCTTTTTTTGGGAGGGGGTCCAGTCATGGGGCCTGAACTCTGGGCCTGGGCGCTGTCCCTCAGCTCTTCAGTTCAAGGCTAGTGCTCTACCACTTGAGCCACAGCACCACTTCCGGCTTTTTTTCTTTTTTGCTTATGTGGTGCTGAGGAATCGAACCCAGGGCCTCTGGCATGCAAGGCAAGCTCTCTACCACTGAGCCACCTTCCCAGCCCCAAGAATCATAGTCTTAAAATATACAATCCACTCATGCCAGATATTGGCGATTCATACATATGGACCTAGTTACTTGGGAGGCTGAGACTGGAAGCACTGCACTTTAAGACCAGCCTGGAAAGAAACGTTTGAGGACCCCTCTTCTCAGCCATTAGCTGGTCATGGTGGTACATGCCTTCATCATAGCAATGATGGAAAGTGAAAAACAGGAGGACTGCGTTCCAAGTCATACTTGGGCAGGAAGTAAAACCCTATCTCAAGAATAGCTGGCACAAAGAACTGCTGAAGACGTGGTGAGTGGCATCACAACAGCCTAGCAAGTGTGAGGCCCTGAATTCAAATCCTAGTGCTGACAAGAGAATCCCAAAAACCAACACAATTCACTTAGAATTACTCAAGTTATCGTCATTATGGGGTAGCCATAGTCTTCTTTGACTCCCATTCCTTCCCCACTGGCTCGTTTCATTCGTCATTAGAGAAGTGGGCAAAAAGAAAAAAAAGAAAAGAAAAACCTAATCCAAACGGTCCTGTTTATTTTTCATTCTTTTTGGTTTGTTTTGCTTTGTTTATTTTGGTCATTTTGTTTTTGCCAAGACCGGGGGAAGAATGGTTTCAAGTTAAGAGTAGAAGCTCTGGGAAGAACTATGACTTGTAACGCTGCATAATCTCCTTGAAGCGCTGATGAGATGTGCTCTTCCAGGACACAAATAGAAGCAACATGTCCTTGAGTGAACACCTAGACAAAGCACTCTCTCAGTGAAGGGATCAGCAGTTGTAGAGGAAGCCAGAAATGTACCAAAACACCACTGGGGAACTGAAGAGCATTCTATATCAAATACCTTCCCTGTGCAAGGCTGGCCGCTAGGGGAAAGATTCCTACTTGAGCACACCCTCTAGAAGGGGCAATGCTCTAATAGAGAAGTTAGTACATACACTACGGTCTCTAAGTGAGACTATCTCTGGGAGATAGTCCTAAATGGAGTTTGTTGGCCTGAATACTTCAACTATTCCAATGGCCATCCTTTTCCTACTCTTTCCTCTAGCCTTTCTGAAAGAAGCCACGATTATAAATCTGTGGAATCACTCCATAGACCAGAAGTGAGTAGAGACACTTGCTGTTGGGCAGAAGGAATCTTCCTTCACTGTGTGTGTGTGTGTGTGTGTGTGTGTGTGTGTGTGTGTGTGTATTTGCACACATGTAAACACCCATTTCTGGTGGCATCTCCTTTTTAAATTCCAGAAGCTTACTCTAGGTTGCTTTCCAAGCCTTACCAGTATAAGATATCCTAATAGCAGTGACAGGAATATTGGAAACTTTTAAAGACTTGGTTTGAAGGAACTTGAAAACATCATCACTAAGATCTTCAGAGGTCAGTTTCTGAAGGACCTTCCTTGCAAGCGGTCCTGCAACTCCAAGGACACCAAGCTCATCTGTTATGTTTTTAATCTCGACATCATAGCCGCCTTTGATTGCTACTTCTTCAATCCATCTGCATTTGAGTCATAAATATTGTATAAATATTATTTGAATAATGCATTGAGCTAACATTATTTCTATACACTGACACATGCACTGGGTCTAGAATGATCAGAAAGCCCCCAGAGGGTCATGGTACCCAATCATCTGATATTTTTAAGCTGGGAAAACTAAGTTTCTGAGATGTTAAGTGTGTTCCTAAATCACCATTTACAAATATGGAGACAATTTTCCACAGAACAGAATGAACCTTTGATTTAAATGAGCTTGCAAAATACTACTTTTAAATAGTGACAGCTCTATTGTATTTATTGATTCAGTGTTCAAAAAATAATTTAAACCCAAATTTTCTCTAATACCTGTACTGAAAAGACATACTAGTTGTTGCTAAAGGTTAATAATGAGTCTGCCACTAGATTCATAATTGCTCTGACAATCACAAGGAAAAGATAAACACTTGAGTTTTAATTTCTAAGTCATGACGAGTTATGGGAACCCAGCTATAGGGCTAGTTAATAATTTATTGAGCAGTACCTAGAGCTATGCAAGTATAACATACACTGGTCGTCTGAATTCAGGTAAAGCTCAGTTACTCAGAACCCAATATATCTTATCTTATAGCACATAATTTGAATCATTTTATTCCTACGGTGATACCCTGTCAGAGTAAGACATTGAATAAATAACAACATCATGAGTATTTTTGGAACACTGACGACCACATAGTGAAGACCAAACATTCATGCAAAGACTCTACTTGGTAGGCCAATGATTTAGCTGTGAGTTGGCAAGCACCAAGTACCACACAGGAAGAAAATAATACAAGGAAGCCAAATAAGTTAAACGTGACATCCCTGAGCCAGCTACTTTAACCCAAACCTTAGTTTCCTCATCTGAAAATGAGAATAATACATACTTTACAAAATACTAGGAGAATTAGTTGACGTAATGTTAAAGGCAGTTCAAACACATTGATAATGCTTAATAAATAGAAGTTAATATTATTAGAACCATTAAATCCAATTGATGAATAAATAGCCTTTTGGGAGAAGTGGGTCTTCACTTCAAATAATTTGCTACAAAAGACACAAAATTTATTTAAAATGACCAGATGGAAGAATTGAAGTTGTTCTTCGCCAGGTGCTGGTGGTTCATGCCTATAATACTAACTACTTGGGAAACTAAGAATGGGAGGATCATGGTTTGAGGCCAATCTAAGAAGAAAAGTTCATGAGACATATAGTTGGCCCCAGGAGTACATGACTGTCATCCTAAACTACAAGGAAAATTGAGATTGGGAGGATCACAATTCCAGGTGAACCTGGGCAGACAAGTCTGAAAGACTCCATACCAAAGGAAAGAAGCTAGGTGGGGAAGGGTGCCCTTGTCATTGCAGCTATAACCAGGAAGCTTAAAATAAATGGACCATGATCCAGGTGCACCCTATGCAGGAAAGCAAGACCTTAAATTTAAAAAAATATATTATAGTAAAAGACTGGAAGCATGAATCCACATCAGAGTACTTGCCTATTGAGCATGAAGCTCTGAGACAGTCCTAGTAATACCCTATATATATACACATACATACATACAGTCAGGTGCTGGTTACTCACACCTATAATCCCAGCTACTTAGGAGACTCAGATCTGAGGGTCCCAGTTTGAAGCTGGCTGGGAGTCCATGAGACTCTTATCTCCAATTAACCACCAGAAAACTGGAAGTGGCACTGTAGCTCAAGTGGTAGAGCACTACCCTTAAGCAAAAGAGATAAGAGGCAGCGCCCAGGCCCTGAGTTCAAGCCATATGCCGACATACAAAAAATGATAGACAGATAGAAGATATAGATAGATAGATAGATAGATAGATAGATAGATAGTTCTTCAAATACTGGCAAAAGAAATACTCAGAATAAGATTGAGTCAATATAAAATACATAATTTTTTTGAATGAGGTATACACTTACCTAAGATCATGAAGTTCTGATCCAGAACCAGTTATTAGTAAAAACTCTCCTGGAGATTGGTGAGAAACTGTCAACTCAGCATATACTCGTCCTTTGGGTGTTAACATGTGACTAATATTTGTAAAACCCACCTACATGAAAGAACTTAAAATTACTTTAGGATAAATTAAAAACCTTATGATGCATTCTTTTAACACATGTAAATAAAAATGTGAGAATTGATGTTAAAATGAGAAGCCTCTTATCAATTGTATGAACTATCTAAACCCAAAACTAAATTTTTTGTCATTCACAAATACAACATTTTATTTATAATTCATTAGTGTAGAAAGACCACAATGCTTCTCAGAGCATGACATAGGACATACCAAGTTATTCCAAAACATACTCACCATAACTAAACAAAACAGTACAGTTCAATAAAAGATATACCAAGGGTAGAGTCTGCAAACTCATTATCATATCAAAGAAAAAAATCAACATGGTGGGATGCTTTATAGGAATGTTTCCCCATAAAAGGAAGAAGTTTTTATCATTTCAAGGAAACTGAATGTCGAGGCAAATTATATATATGTTCTTTGACATATTGAAGTATATATTTAAAATTCCTTTGAACATGGTTTGTTTAAAAAGCAACGTGGTTTTGAAACCAAGATCAATAAAAAGTTCTCAACTTGAACAATCATTTAAAACTGCCTGACATAAAAGTTACACTTTATAGCCGGGCGCTGGTGGCTCACACCTGTAATCCTAGCTACTCAGGAGGCTGAGATCTGAGGATCGCGGTTCAAAGCCAGCCCGGGCAGGAGAG